TTGGCTAAGCCTCTCTAATATTCCCCTTCTCAAAAAAATATCTGTTTACCGTCAAGGAACTTTGTGAGAGTACTGATGCAAATTGTGTGGTTCAGGCTTCCTTATTTTTGATAAAATTGCAAAAAATTAACACATTTTATGTAAACGCTCACATATTACTCATACACCATTCTGCACATTGAAAAACTTTTGCTTCGGACTACTAAGTTCAAATACAACTTATCCCGAAACAAAAACGAAATCGTTAAAATGATAAAAAGTAACTTTAACATAAACTTAATTTTATGCTTTTATGATATGTTGTCCATAAAATTTTTAAATGAAACAAAAAGAAAAATTTAATCACAAACTGGAATCTTTTTACAACAAAAAAACTTTAAATAATTATAACAAAACAAGTAAGGAATATCTAAGTTTGGGTGCGACGGTATGATTTGCAGGCTCGTAAGGTAAAGTGATATATGAGAGATTCGGATATACTTCAATTAAAATACAAGACAAGAAGATAAATAGTCACTAGAATTTCGGAATTTCTTTAGGATTTTTTACATACATATATATCACTAGAAGTGAAGCGATAGTTCGAAAGGACGTACCACTTTTACCCATTTCCTGTAAAACATGTCATGCCCGAATTTCAAAACCACAACTCACAGTTCGACCGACTTTTTCGGTACAAAATCAGCCATAAGAAATTAGCCATTATAATCCGATTTCGACAATGCTTGGGGTTAAGAACTTAAATTAAAAACTTAAACTACTTATATTATATTTACAAATTTTTTTGGCGAATGAAGAAATATTGGCAGTCGAAAAAGTCTTTTGTCAAAAGATGTCATTGTAGTGGTAAGAATATCTCCAGTGCTTTCAATCACATTGTATCATACCATATCGTGTTCGAAATGTGAGATTTTAAGCTTCATTTAACAAAAAAACAAAAAAAAAAAAAAAAAAATTCGGGAAAGTTGAAAAAAAATTGCAGCTGTGAGTAAAAATAACGCAGAAATTCAATTTTCATGATGCGTGTGCAGCAATGCCATGCCGATCAACCTGTCTTGAAGCATGATCGTCTTCAGCTACGTTTTCATGCGGCGAAGTATCGAAAAAGGGCGTTCAAAGCTCGCATTCGTCACAGGAATTGTGCAGAATATGCAAAGAATACTATGGGGTATAGGTGTAAATTGCAGTTCTTCAACGTTTCCAAAGCAGTGGTCGGTAACTTGCTATCTTTTGACTTTTGCTTCTGCGCCCAATGGCACTGCCAGTGATCAAGTTCACTTTTGAGCTTCAAACGCCGCACCACATTGTCATTATCCAAAAGGCCTTTGATTTCCCATTTTTTTAGTTTCCCATTTCTGTAGTTTTAAAAAGCACACACTTTTTCTGGAAGCAGCAAACTCAGTTGAAATACATCCAATACTTCTCTAGAAAAGCGCGTCTTGAAGTCTTCGTCGATTGAATTCAACAGAGGATTATACTCTGGGACCCTATAGCATTCTTCGCAAGTTCTCATGCAGAAATTTTCACGTTTTGCTTGTCAGCCACTGATTCTTCGTTTTTCTTCGTCAACTTTCAGCCGCCGTTAATTTTTCCTGTTCGAAAATGTGCATCAGCTTTTTGTCATCGATTTCGGAACGTTATAAACAGCGTATCTATCTTCTTTAATTCATCTGCCAGAACAATTTATTCTTTCTGAAGGAATATATGAAAAAAAAAACTTTTGCGAAAATAGGCATTTTTTGGCTGTCAAAACCGACACATTAAATCTTTTAGGGAATTCCATCGTGTCTACTTTTAAAAAATATTTAGCTTACAAGCGCCTCTCACTACTGCGATCCCCTATACCAAATTACAGTTTTGCATCTAAATTTGGTGCTTAGTTGTGGCACTTAATAAGTCTTTGTTTAATAGCGTTTTCTGATCATGGATGTGGTTGTGGCAACGGCCATCTGCAGTAATGGCCGTCGTTTGGTGCCAATGAATATACTTGTAGGTAATAACAGTGGTGTTTCGTTAGTTTCACTATTATTTAAAAACATATATAAATACAATAAATTTTTAGACAAAAGTAACTAATTAAAGAGAAACTTGAAAATATTTCATTAAATTATTATTATTATAAATTTCGAAATCTGTTCGAAATCCGCTTTTTGTAATGAACTCTTAATTAACCATGTGTGCACTTAACTAATTCCACTTTGATGCCTAAGTAATGGGTAACAAATATTTCAACCGAATAAATAATTGGATTCCACTTGTTAATAAAAACGCACTTCAATAAAATTTTTTTATATAAAAGCGGTTGTGTTTAAAACTCTAAAAATAGTTACACATATCACTAAAATAGTTGAAACAGCAGATGCTTTGGCGCGTTATGCACTTGCCGCAGTTAGTTGTTTTAATTGAAAAGTGAAATTGTCGCACACTCCCAAAAACAAAAAGTCCTTCCCTACTATAAAAGCAGTTAAATTTAAAGTAATGGTTCACAATAAAATTTATTTCCATACACTTTATTTTCGGCGCTGCGAACTCAATTAAAATCATTTGAAAGCGTGCAAAGCCATAAACCTGCAAAGAATTGCCTCATTCACACCGACACCCACACACTCACACACCCACAGGTATCTGCTGAATTTTTAAATGAGTTAATTTCAAACTTTTGTTGCGATTAAACGAATTGGCATGAAAATATTGTGCTCGCGTCGAACGCAGTTGCACAGTGATTACTTTATTTCAGCTGCAGAAGTAGGTCACTCATACGCCCCTACGCACCAATTGTGTCTGCTGCATCTGCCGCTATACAAGCACTTTAATTTGATTTCTATGTTTGTGCGAATATGTGGTGAGAGTGTGTGACTTGCTTTGTAACGAAAGGTTTGTCTTTTAAATGCACATGACATCAAAGGAATTGTGTAACAGCTGTAATACGTTTGCTCTATCCATCGCAAGTGGGCTGAGGTTACGTATACGTCATTCCACAAGTGGGCAAAGAAACTTATTTAAAAATTCAGTTTAACAGTAAATGACCAGCAAGAAACTGGAATACGCTTGTGGAGAGATTGACATGGCCAATGGCTATCCTGTATGATTACTATTTCTTTATTTAAGATTTTTTTTTTTCAGACATTCACTATTGCGTGTAAATATTTTTTCGAACTTTTCTGAAGCTTTAGATATTGGGACATTATTCTAGATTATTATTATTATTTTTTTCTTTTTTTGGTTCAGATGGGAAGGAGGGTTGAAAGCGTAGGTATGCTCACGTAGCAATTTCTCGCAACCCCACTACGTCATCAGCTGCTAATTTTTGAAAAGTGAGTCACCTGTCTCTTATACACATCTAGATGTGTATAAGAGACAGCATGTATACTGCACACAAAAGTGCGGGTGTGTTT